TCGATAAGGAGTGCTATTGGTTACTTCCTTAGGGGATGTTCGACATGACCATAGGATATGGTCCAATGTTTTATGCCGATTTTTTTTGTTTACTCCCCACTTGATTTTTTTGTCAACCCAGTTACTACCTTATTTGCTGCCTCAACTTGCCCATTCGCTTGGGCATAATAAAGTGTCGAGGTTAGGAGCTTGAATCCCATTTCTTTAGAGAACTCCTGCATCTTTCGACCAATAAACACCGAAGCTTGATCCGTTATGATTGTCTCTGGAAACCCAAACCTGTAAATGATATACTTCTGAATGAAATCGATGACATCCCCTTGATCTACTTGATGTGCCCCACACGTCCCACTATGGACTGATGACAAAACCAAGTATGCCTCAGATTCCCTAAGGCATTTAAGCAAAACCCCCTCAGAGGTTTTTTTTAATAGTTCGTTTCCTAGAAGAACGTAGCTTAGAGCTTGATACTTAATTTTTTGCTCTGCAGACGCTGAAGGGCTTCAAAGGTATTCGACCAAAGGTTTTCTCCAATCTTTGTTCGTCAAACCTTCTACTGTAAAAATTTCGAAATTTTCCTCATCAGCATAGCCAAATTTTGTTGCTTCTAGGTCTGATGGTTGTAGGCCAACAGACACGACCTTACCTCTAGCTTCGATTACTTCTTGTAGGTCTTCTTTCAAAACCATATATCCAGAGGCAATTTGTGCCAAGTCATTCACCACTTGATTTTTTTGTCGCAGTATATGCCAAATGGTTGACACTTTGAATTTTTTGAGTAACCTGTTGGCTATTATAAAGTACATAATGAGATTTTCTTTAACACATTTGTATTCCTTTGTTATTTGTTTTATAACCAACTCTGAGTCTCCCATTATTTCGACTCGGGTTGCCCCCAATTCTAACAAAATTTCAAGTCCTGCTATTAAGGCCTCATATTCAGCCTCATGATTAAAGCAGAGCCCTTCGAATTTATACTTAAATTTTGTTGGAATTTTATCAGGAGAAATAATCAACAGACTTATGCTTGTTCCATTCTTATGGCTGGAACCGTTGAGGTATAACTTCCAGGGTTCTAGCTCGACATAATTTAGAACATTTTCGTTTATGGAGTGGTCGACAATGAAGTCTACCACTATTTGTCCTTTAACCACCTTCAGCGGTCTATAGGTCAAAGAATACTCTGTTAATGCTAATGCCCACTTACCTATTCGACTGTGCAAAATAGGCTTAGACAACATGTGTTTAATAACGTCAAAATGCGAAGAGACATATACATCAACTAGTTTTATATATTGCTTTAGCTTTGTACACAAGAAATACAAACATAGACATAATTTTTCTATCACACTATATCTAGTTTCTGCATCATTCAAAACCCTACTGAGGTAGTAAATAGCCATTTCGACACCATTCTCATCCTCTTGAGCTAACATGCTCCCTAGAGTCTTGTTTGGTGCTGCTATATACAGCCTCATGCTCTTGCTCCTGCATGGTGGTGAAAGCACTAGAGGGTGGGTCAGATAGTCTTTGATTTTGTCGAAAGCCTCTTGCTGATCTTTCCCCTAGTCGAACCCTTCTTTAGTGACTCGAGGTAATGGTGAGAAGGCCTGCGTTTTTCCGCTTAGGTTTGATATAAATCTTCTCAAGAAGTTTATTTTACCTAGCATCGATTGTAGCTCCTTCTTGTTTGATGGCGCTTTCGCTTCCATGATAGCTTTGGTCTTGTTTTGGTTGATTTCGATCCCCTTTTTGTGGACCACAAAACCCAAGAAATCTCCCGCCTGCACACAAAATGCACATTTTAGAGGATTCATCTTAAGACCATACTTCCTCATCCTTATAAAGGATTATCGAAGATGGTCCACATGGTCTTTTCCTGACACTGATTTAACCACAATGTCATCAATATATATCCGCATGAAAGACTCTATATAATCATGAAAAATTGAATTCATTTCCCGTTGATATGTTGCCCCAACATTTTTTAGGCCAAAAGGCATCACTACCCATTCGTAGGTGCCTAAGGCCCTAGGACAACGAAAAACTGTTTTGGGAACATCATCTTCTGCAATGAAAATCTGATTATAACCAGAGTATCCATCCAGCATGCTAAGGTACTCATGTCTTGCGGCATAATCGACTAGCCTCTCTGCCACAGGCATCAAGTATTCATCTTTAGGAGTTGCTGAGTTTAGATCCCTAAAGTCTATACAAACTCTTAAAGACCCATTTTTCTTAATGAATGGAACAATATTAGCCAGCCATTCGACATACCTAGTCGTGCGGATGAACCTGCATCGGAGGAGTCTTTCGAATTCCTCCTTTATTTTTGAGAGGATTCCTGGAGCAAAACGCCTTAGGTTTTATTTGACTGGCTTCTTCCCAGGCTTGATCGGCAGCTTGTGTTCGACCAATTCCCTCTTCAAACCAGGCATCTAATCATAATCCCAAGAAAAATAGTCTTTGAACTCTCGTAGTAATTGAATAATTTCGACCTTGAGTTGAGGGTCTAGGTTGGCATTGATATATGTTGGCCTTTTAACCACCCATTCCCCTAGATCAACCTCTTCCAATGGGTCCTGCGCTAGCATTTTGACGTTATTCGCCAGTGGATCCTTTTCGAATCCTAAAGGCTCTTCATCATATATAGCATCAAGCCTTTGGTCTTCGTGTTGAGTCTTGTCAAGTGGTTCTAGATCAAAGTTCTTGTCAGGACCTTCTTGACAGGATTCCAACTTGGCCTTTTCAGCCATCTGGTTATTGGCAGCCTCCAAGGCCGCCTGTAGTTTAGTTTCGGCCACATAGGCCAAAATTCTCTGTAGTGCTTCGAATTCAGTCATCGTCACTAAATTCGCTCCCCCAACCTGTGGGGTCTATTAGAGATTTGCCAAGGTATGGGAGTCTCTGTCCTGGCGCCTCCTTTGTCCTAACGGAAACCATCGACGGGATGCAAATACAACGAGCAGAACGTTTCCTCGTTGGTACAAACTCGAAATCTGCAGGGGCACATGGACCTATACTGGCCAGGTGCTTGTCAAACTGCCTCCGGTCGACATGGTTTATGGGCGCTCTGAAGTACCCTTGGTCGGCTTCGATGTTCTCCATGATGTCGTCTGTTCTCCATATGGCAATTCGCTGATGCATTGAAGATGGTACTGCACAAATGCCATGAATCCACTATCGTCCTAGCAGCAGATTGTAATTGGCCTTCATTTCCACTACCATGAAAACGGTAGGTCTTGTTATTATTCCGACCGTTAGGTCCACCTGTATTACTCCCATTGTAGAACCCACCTTGCCTTCGTAATTTGACAAGACTGTGTTGTGTGATTTCGTATCGGTATCATGTTTGCCGATTTTACTTAACAAGGAATGTGGCATCAAGTTCACCGTTGCGCCACTATCTACCATAGTCAAGTGTTCTTTCACCTAGTGAGGAGAACTATAGTTGCTCTGATTCCATCCTTGTTAGGATACGTAGGCACGAGATGCGACGTCTTGGCGAGCATACTTAGTGTATATACCCACAGGTCTTTACCTTTAACACCTTTATCTTAACACATAACCATTAGCAGAAAAACATTAGCAATAACACAAATACCAAACAAGAGGCTCCTGTAGAGTATTACAGATACTTAGAGTGCTAATACCTTCTCTCAACATAACCAACCCTCGAACCCCCCGATCTCTTAGTTTCGTTGTTACGTAACACACTTAGGATTTTTTTCGATCTTTACCCTTTCCTTTGGATAAATCAAAGCTCAGTGGTGAATATTTAAATATTTGTGATTCAAGTTAATTAATAGTTTGATATCTGATTCTCACCGCAACACATGCAATAGATTTTTTTTCTTCAGTTTCTCAATTATATGATTTCAAATTCTCTTCTCTTAATTCACATGTGTATAAACATAATTTTATCTCTTTCAAGCATGATATATGTTATGTAGTTGATATATTCTTTAGCATTTATAAAGTTAATTAGTTTAGTAACTCGTTGTAGTATGAGTTGAATAGTTTAATTTTATATATAGAGTTGTAGGTATTAGTAACAATTAAGGGTGTCAAACATGTATGCTCGTTCCATTTAAATCAGTTTTACAAAAATTTAGGAAAATAAAGAGTAGAGTGAGACAGACATAATTGAGGATGTGGCTTAAAATCTACGTCCGCCCAGCAAAATAGTGGGGGCGAGAGTGATGAAAGCCCCCAGACACGACACTTTTTAAATATAAAAAAAACAAAAATTTATGTAAATGCTCTTGAAAAATTCGCAAAATATAGGACAGAACGAGACAGATATATTAGAGAGTGAAGGTCTAATCCCTTGACCTACTCCGTATCAAAGTGTTGACAAAATGCCTAATAGGAAAAATCAATTTTGCCACCTACAGTAACAACTCATAACAACTCATGTGAGTGACTAGAAGTACATTTCACAGCCAAATTTTTGGTTTGATGTAGCTAAAACTGTTTGTTAAAAATTAGCTATTAAATTAAACATATGTTAGGATATATATTTAAAATGTTATTAATAATATTTTTAAAGTTACATCTCTTTCCAATGTTACGAAATCTTAATAGTAATATAGACTTTATCTAACATTTATTTCAATGTTACTAAATCTAAACAATAACTTTTTTATATTCAGTAACATTTTTTTAATTAAAAAATGAGCAAGAAATAACTTAAAATTTGTCAATATGGACTTGAGTTACTTTTTTTCAAAACCAATTCATTTTATTTTTCTTATAGGACAGAGTCAATAATGGATACCTAAAGCTAATGACTACAATTTTTATTAATAAAACTCATATGATCAACTGTTAGTGTCTAAACAAAGGAGGATTAACAATGAAATCATATTCAATGACCTTATAATCAATGTCTAAATAAAAAAGAAATTACAACTGATAAATAATTAACTGAAATATTTTTTTACAAAAGTCACCACTCAAAAATATGGGGTGCAATCACATTTATGTGGGGAAAAAAATTAGATTTGTGGAGGAGGAAGCAACCATTTAGATCCTTGAATGATTCCAAGTGTAATGAAAGGTTTAGCCTCTGCATCAGTTAATTGCTTTGTGATTTTTGAACGTTTTATGGGATTTGCACCGGGTCCTGTGTTCTTGTATTCTCCAAATAATATAGTTCTGTGAATAAAATCAAGTGGTGATCAATATTTTATGTTAATTGAATCATAATCATACAGAAAGTTGAATTAGAGAGTTACTTGTCATATTCAGGGTGCATGTTGTTACTCCAGCCTTCCGGTTCAATAACATTGCTCATAGTTGAGTAAGCAAATGCAACTTTGGGATGAGACATCCATGCTCTACCCAAAAAAGTGCGAGTTCCAGTTCCAGTTAAATCACAATGCACAAATGAGTATATAGCTTCTTCTGACGGACTTGTTCTTGCTTCTGCTACTATCACGGTCACATCTTTAGTTCCAAGCGTTCTTAATTCAGTTTTTAAATATAACGACGTTCCACTTCCGAATATGTAATCTACTGTCCCTTGAATTAAGCAATCTTTGAAAAGATGATTATGTCTGTCATCACAAACTGTATCCTGGAATCCATATATTTTGCAATTATAAAATGCTGCTTTGTCACCGGAAGCTCTCAATGCAACCGCTTGAGCTCCTGATGTTTTTCCATCCGGTCTTGGGGAAGAATTCTGTACCAATAGTTAAGAACCAATTATTTTTGAGAATCTAAAATATGAATTCTATTCGAAACAATAGTTAAAACCAAAAAACTAATAATAGATACATACCGATATGGCAATGTTAGCAGCTACAAAATAATCAGATTCAACTATCAATGTGGCACTATCAACTGTGCCATATTTTTTAGCAGTACCATCAAAGGTTAAATTTGGCATATTATTTGGTGTACCATACAATGTAATAAAAGGTCTTGACCTATCAATTTTTATTTTCTCGTTATAGTTTCCAGGACCTATATTAAGAATCACACGTTTGTTGTTTCCGGTAGGTATGCTATTAATGGCATCAGTTATGGTTTTGAATTCACCACTACCATCTTGCATTACTTTAATAACCCTAGCACCAGCCTCTGCACTCACCAATGCAGGCTCAAGGGTTTCTTTTCTTTGTTCTAATGGACCAACATTCTTATCAAACCATGAGTCTACTTGGGATCTATCAGCAGGAATTGGAGTATTGTCATCTGATAATACAACATTTGTTGCAAACAAAATTGTTATGATAGCAACATTAAAGATAGAGGTTCTTGTTTCCGAAATCATTTTCTTGCTTTCTGTTTTGTTTCTATTTCTTTGTTATGTTATATGATATTTATATAATTTAATTTTGGGTGTGGTAAATTTGATTCAACCATTTTTGTGTGAAGAAAGATAAACTAAAACATGGGGTTTATATTGCACTGTTTCGCAGCATTGGTGGAGAAAATAGATTATATTTTAGTTGATACATGGAATTCTTATTTCTATTCATAGAAATGTGTAAAACTTAAATAACGTAGTTTCAACACCAGAAAATGGCATACTGATTCTAGGCCTCTAAAATTGAATGAAAATTTAGGATAAGTTTTTTTATAAATGAATTTAACGTTAAGTTATCATAATTTAGTATGAATGTTTATTAAAAAAAATGTTACTGATTTGTTTACGTTAATTAATACTAACAGGGTTGTTCATAAAAAATATTTCTTAATAGCTGGATATATATGTATGGTTTTTAATACTATTACATTATTATAACAACATGTATTATTTATCATTAAATTTTTTTAGAATAGTGTTGTTTCGAGTTAAATAAGGGTCCATCAAGATCGACTCAATTTATAAGCACCCTTCACAAAGAGCGTTCATTCACTGATTCACAAACTGACCTTCATTATTAGACACCGCATTAGAGCACGGCCTCCTCCTGCATCTCAATCGTTGATCACATCCAACAGTTGTCAGCACTCAAAACTTGATAAATTAGAGTTGGTTCTAAGTGTATCTTCTATATAAGAGTGAACTTTAGTTACGATAAGGGATTCTTTACACACTCACTTGCAAAATTCCACCCCATTCAAATAAAAATTCAAGTGTTGAAGTGTTAATAATTTGCAAAGTTTCACAACTACCACTGTACCACAAACTTCTACATAGTGGTTCTATGGAAGATTTCTTCTATTCATGATTCTAGTATACAAAAATAGTGTTATTTCTTAGAATCGTTTTCTAATTCTAAAAAAATCATCTCAGAAATTCTTTAATCTCCATCGTTGTGCCTCCCTGACCATTTTTTAATACCTTTCTGATAACCATAACAGTTTCTATCTAAAGTATTGATACTTCTATAATCATGAAGTATTGGTACCGGGTACACGTACCATACTCGTAGTACCTCGTAATGTTTTATTTCTAATTGATTTCATGTTGTATTGTGCATTTGTGTTGTATCTCGTGTATCTATGATAGATTATTCTCTTTTATGTACATCCTTCTTAGCTATGTATAGCTTTGTTTATTTGGAAATTTTATGTTGTCGGTTCATTTAAATTTAGACTTATTAGTATCTATCTCTTTTTGATCTTGTCAAATGGAAAAGGTTGTATTGTGATTTACAATTGCAGTGTTTCAAGAGAAGCATTAGAAAAACGAGGAAATCACTCATCATACTTTGCTTCTGCTGAACGCCAACTTAATTCCAATTGTAAAAGTTGCAAGCATGTCAAGCATCAAAAAGGGGAGACTGAAGTTGTCTATGCCTCCTAAGATTTACCTGTTTATGTTGTGTTGCTTGTCAATTTAGTTTTTAGTTGATTTTGTCATAATTGGGCCTCCTTGCATAATTGTGCATTCTAGGGTTGAATGACTAATAGTTGTACGAATGCATAAAATAAAGAGTTTGATTAAAGTCATAACAATATGCTTCTAGTCAAATAGTTGAAGGTTTGAATTGAGAAGCACATTTGAGAATTGTTTAAGCGTGTCAAGTCTCAATTCATAATAACACTTCATTTTAATGAAAATGGTTTAATTCGTGTCAAGTCTCAATTCATAATAACCCTACATTTTAATGAAAATTTGAAAATATTGAACTGCGATTAAAACCACATTGTCTCATAACTCGAATCAAGCTTTATCCAAAAATCAAGATTTTGCTTTTATGAGTCTAACTCAAATCACAAGATCTGCCTTACTCGAATAAAACATAGTTCTTAAAAATTGGATTTTGTCTCAGTGAGTTTGATTTGAATCAAAGCAATGCATGACTCAAATCAGAAAGGTTTGATTCTAATCACAGAAATACTTGACTCGAACCAAATTGAGACAATAAATGTTTGATTTTGGTTTAGTGATCCTGGTTTGAATTGTAGATCTAGTTGACTTGAATCACATGAATCGAATCATAAAATGGTAGATTTGAATCATGGGAGCAGTTTTTCAAATTCCTTGGGTCTTGATTCAAATCATTCACTCTTTCGACTCTACTCATACTTCTTGCTTGTGACTCGAATCAAATGAAATTTTATCTAATTTTTGTGTTATATCTGCAGCATATATATATATATATGTATATATATATATATATATATATATATATATATATATATATATATATATATATATATATATATATATATATATATATATATATATATATATATATATATATATATATATATATATATATATATATATATATATATATATATATATATATATATATACACACACACACACACACACACACACACACACACACACACACACACACACAATCTTTTTATTAAATCCTTTTCATAATGTTCATAACATGCATACCCTCTTTGATTTTGAACTCACAACAAACATTTTCTCTCAATTTTTAAAAATGGTTTTGAATCTTGTTTTGAGTTTTGAAAATGAAATGTCTTCATCTTCATCCTCTTGCATGTTCTATTGTTGTTTGGACTAAGTTCTCATCATAGGGTGTGAGATCTGTGAATGGGATAATTTTGTGAAGATTTCTTGAGAATTTCAAGGGTTGGAATTTGTGTGTGTGGTTGTGGTTGAGATCGAGAAATCCAACGGAAAAAAAGATTCTTCTCTCCAAAATTACTTTGGTAGAACTGTAAGGAAGCCTACAAATGAAGTTGAAGTTTTTCTCATCTTCAAAAAGTTCAAGGCTCAAGGAACCAGAATGGCTGAGTAAAGGTCATTATAGAAAGGATGCTTGAAGCAACATTCTTGAAGATGAAAGATTAAAGTCGAAGTCGAGTAAAGATTTCGTAAGGATTCAATGTAAGGAGTTTTGTATAGTCAAAGAGGATTCAAATAGAAGACCTTTATTTTCAGCATTATTCAAATTGTGATTGTACTAAACGATTATGTGTAAAATTTTCAAAATCATATAGAAGAACGACAAATTTTCAATGGGTAACTATTGGAGAGTGTATAAGACATAAGCAAAGATGATTTGTCGAACCACTAAAAATGCGGCGTACTATATTCTCTTGTATCTCTTTTTACATTTCGCTTAGGCTTGCATGCTTAGATTTATTATTTTCTTAGAATCACATGATATTTAAGGTTTATCGTATTGGTAGTGATTTCGCTAATAAGTTTTAGGTTTTGTTAGATTGAGATTCTGAAACTTTCTTATTGTTGATTAACATTGAAAACCTATAATGTTAAAGTCCTTACTTAATTGATTAGATTCTCTTTACACACTTCGCGTAAATCAACTTTGACTCAATCGAGACATTGATTAAATTGGAACTTTTCATCTATCTTCTATTTTATATTTCTGCTTAAGTGTTGACTATGTTGCGTCTAAAAAGTATATACATTTTTGTACATAAAACTTCCTCTACGAAAAATACTTTCTCAAACTCTAATTTTTGAAAGTATTTTTTTAAATTGGTCTATTTTCTGTGAAGGTTTATTCAACCCCTTTTAGACCATTCAAATCATTATTCTCTTCCAATAAAAATTTGCGATAATCATATTGGTTAATAAGAACGATTATAGTGGTGTAACGTAGAAGATTAAAGAAGTTTGACTTGGATTTTGTGAGAATCAAAAAAACCTTCCCACATATAGTGACACTATTTTGATGTGGAACAGAAGATTGTCAATGTGCTATTGGAATTTGTTGTGAAAGCTCTCTAGTAGGGTGGATTAGAGGTGTATGTGCAAGATTAGGACTTCAACACCCAAGTCAGTGAGATTAGAGAGGTGTAACTTACAAGAGTGCTTGAAAAATGCACATGGAATGGTAGAAACCACTCGTAGTAGGTGCAACATGGATTGCGGGAGAAAGTTGGGTTTGATTTGACAAATTGAGATGAATATGCTTGACTCTAATGTGTAATCTTCTAGAGAGAGTCACTACAAGAAATTGGCAAGGTGTGACGGTTAATTTTGGCAGGTTACAGTTGTTTGAATCGCCTCAATTTGCATGTCACACGGTTGTGGTTTTGTCGCAAAAACTTGTGTCACCAAGTTGTACTGCAACGGTTGCTAAAACTACCACTCCAACTGTCGTGGTGAAAATCGGATACCAAACTATTGATTAGTTTGAATCTTTAATTCATTTTGCAGCCGAACTTTGATTTGTCCAAAGGAAGGGATAAAGATCGAAATTCCTACAATGCAATGCAAATGCAAGGTTTAGAGAGTTTAGGTTCGGGGGTTGGTTAAACTTAGGGAAGGTACTAGCATCCTAAGTTTCTGTAGTACTCTACAGGAACCTCTTGTTTTATGTTTGTTTATTGCTATGGTTTATCTGCTTAAGGTTAAAGACCTAGGGGTTTATTTCTAAGTATACTCGATAAGATGTCGCATCTTATGCCTACATATCCTTACGGGAGTGGAATCAGAGTATCTGTAGTTCCCCTAAAGGGTATGAGGAATTCTTTGACTGTGGTCAAAGTTCCTACGGGTTTAGGGTAGTTGATTGATTGATTTTAGGAGAAGAGATGTGTCTTCATTTTAAGAGAGATGTAACTGCCACAAGGTGTAGGAAAATAGTATTTGCATCGTCTTAAGAAAAGGGCTTAAGTACTCGGATTGTTTGACGAGTATGCCTTTATTTCTCTTAAGGCAAAGTCCCTACGGCTTGATTGTATTGTTGTGGGGTGGAGATTCTATCTCGCTTAAGATGATTTGGCATCTTTTCTCTATTGTGTTTGAATAATTGTTTTGAATTGTTTGAATGTATTGTGTTTGATTTGTATTGTTTTGTTTGTTCTAAGTTGTATGTTAAAGGTCCTTCCTATGGGGTAGGATCTAAACTTAGGAAGATC